AAAAAGTCTAGTTTTCTTGTAATATGTTTAATTCGTCATAATACCCACATTCGTCAAAATACCCGCATTTACCTTATATACTGTACACGCTAATATGATTTTATAGTACTGTATTGTTAGCTTTATCGTTATAGTGAACTATGAATAATGTACAATGTACAATTACGTAATTGCGTATTGTCCTTGATATTTAAATTGCGTCATTATGGCATCATCAGGGGTTAATAAAAATGGTGTATTTTTTCTCATAAGTTAATGCAAATGTACGTAATGTTGTCATAACTTCTTTTTCTTAACCACTTATAACATGGAAGCGTTACCGTTACCTCTTGAATATTTTAACTTTACTATTCTGAGTCAAGGAAGTTCACTGTTTGAGTATACAAGTTTTATCACTTCAGTTACAAAAGATATGTATGATTGTATTAGAGAGTGGCTTTCCGATTATGGTGTTAATGAAAGATATACCTGTAAGCCATCAAAAGACTTTTAATTAAAATGATTCTACAAGTTGCACTAATCTCAGGCATTTATATCTTAAAGGTCATAAAATTCTCAATAATACTACTGTTAACACTGTAGATTTTTATATTCGGTATGGTGCCAAGACTGACTTTGTACCTAAGGTAATAAATGGATTAGTAAAGTACCTCCACCTCGACTTCGTTGGATATAAAACTATTATTGATATCACTTGTGATCATCAAATTAATGATGAAGGGGGGTGGAACGTTTTTTAGGATAATTTCTGGTCGTAATCCATTAATTATTTCCACTACCAATTGGGAATTATCATCTTTATTTATCAAAGGTTTCTGACCTGTTGATATTACTGTAATAATTACACCAAATATATAAATCTCTGAGGCTTGCATCACACCATATGTTTTTTTTCTCAGTGTCATGGATTTTTCTAAGCAATCCTAAATCAGAAAATTTTGATTCTATATTCAATTTACCTCTCTTGAAATATTACTACATTGTGTCGTATATAGTATAGATATGTGGTATAAAATCATCAGTTTTGAACATGAGTATATTTCCACTATGATGAATATAGCTTTGATGAATATGAATTAAATTATCTGATATTAAGCGAAGAATTTTTATTTTTTTTTTTCTGGGTAAGAGTTTCACTTTTTTTTTACGATAACATCTATGATCTCCTTCATCCGCATATTCTAAATCATATATTGGTTCTTCGAAGGATCATACGATACATAATGCGATTCCATATCTTTCCACGCAATATTTTTTGAGTTGACATTCGTAATGTGATTTAAACTTTGAATAGATATAATTAATTATATGATTTAGAATATGCGGGTGAAGGAGATCATAGATGTTATCGTAAAAAAAAAGTGAAACTCTTACCCAGAAAAAAAAAAATGAAAATTCTT